TTTTAATATGTTATAAAATTTATTAATTTTGATTATATTATAGAATTATATAATTTTAATTCTTCATGATATTTTGAAACTTATTTATTTAGGTTTCTTTTAAAAGCCTAAAAAATATTTTTTAATGAATATTTTTATCGTATAATATAAATTATGTGAGTTTGGGACATTATATAAATACTTTAAACTTATAATTTAAAGTTTTTTTTAAAAAAATTTTTTGGCAAACATTTACAACTTATTTGAGTGATTATATATTTATTTAAATAATTATTCAATTTTGCATTCAATTTTTATATGTTTACATTAACTAACTATTTGATTTTCTATCCCAATATGATAAAAACATTAAACAAATAACTATTTATAAAAATAAAAAATAAAACTAAGGTAAAGGAAAATATCTTAAATTATTCAAAATAGTTTGAGCCAAAATTTAGGGATTCAGTATTATGAAAGGTAAATTAGTAAATAAAAGTATTTCAATATAAATTTTGATAAAAAAATATTTTTTAAAAATATTCTTAACAAAATTAACGGTCTAAACTTAAGTATATGTTTTCAAAATAAAAAGAGGTTAAAGTATTTCACTCCTATATTTATTTTGATTTTAAATATAACATCTTAATCTACTTTGTCTTATATATCTATAATTTTTTTTTTAAAATTATCCTTACAGATTGTAAAAATAAAAGAGATTTTTCATCAATCAAGTAGTTTCCAAATAATTGAAGAAGATTTTTTAGGAAAATCAACACTCAATTTTACAAATAACTAAGTCAATCAAATTTTTAATCTCTCTAAATTCATTATCTAACTTCTACATTTAAATGGGAGGAATTAATAAATTTCAAGGTCTTGAAAATGCGCAGCCAACCAATTTACAAGACTTTCATTTCCATAAACTTTTAATTATTAGCCTTATTACCATGCCACAAATATAAAACGCACACCCTGAGAACAATTTAATTAACGAGATTTTTCCTTATTTTCTCGTATATATTTTCTGAAGAATTCCTGGAAAATTTGTGAGAACCCTTTTTACCTCATTCCCATCATCTACGCCACCTTCCTCGTGTATTTTCTCACAAACGTCTCATGAAATATCCTTTTTAGGTTAACAGTTATGACAATTTTCATAAGAAAATACTATCTCTGGTCCCAAATATAAAATTTTGTTGATTAATGTAGTAAAATTAAGAAGGTTAAATAAAATACTTCAAAGTATTATATTTATTGTTTTTCCCCAAACTAATTTAACCTGATTTATAAACTAATATATAATCTAATGCGACAAATATATATTTTAGAGAGATCATGTACCATATGCTATAGTTAAATAATTTTTTAAAATTTTTTTGATATTATCAAATTAGTCAACTATATCTTATATTAAGCCTTTGATAGTATATTGATATGTCATGTGAAATTCTGTCACTAATGGATCCATGCAATAACAATAGGAAAAATAAGGGCAACAGTTTCTCATTGAAACTTCTTATATCAAAGAAGGACTTGATAAATTTAGTACTCTTATTTTGTCTTTTTTATCAATAAAATTTTTAACAAGACATTTTCCCCAATTTTCTGATAACTATTGTTTTCTTGTAGTTGATAAATAATTTGCTGCAGACACAGTTGAGACAATCATAAACGATTGCAAGCAAGGGTGTGGGCACACTTTTAAAGCACATATTTTATGATTTGATATTTTAATTATGAAAATAAATATGAAGACAATCGTGTCATGCGGTCATGGAAATATACATATCATTTCATAATATAGTTCATAAACCTTTGACCATTTGGACAAGTAAACTTATAAAAGCCTGGATTTTGTTTGAGAATTTCTGCAAAATTTTGATAAAATTTTGAAGAAATATGAACACAATTTCACAAGATTTTCATTTGCATACATTTATGGATTGCACATTTCTTCCCTCCCCCCCCCCCCCCGAAAATGTAGAAGCCTACGAAAAAAATTATAGTCCTTATGGTTCTCTTTTTTTCATAAGCATAGTCCCTGCAGTTATAAATGTAGGAGCTAGTAAAAAATATTTATTAATTTTAAATGTAAGATCTCAATCTACTTTGTCTTATATGTCTATAAGCTTCTTCTCATACTATCCCTGCTGATGATATAAATTAAGGGGATTTTTCATCAATCAATTAGTTTTCAATACAAATAATTGAAGAAGGTCTTTTAGAGAAACCAACACACAATTTTGCAAATAACTAAGTTAATCAGATTTTTACCCTCTTCAAACTAATTATCTAACTTCTACATTTAAATAAGAGGAATGAATAAATTTGAAGGTCTTGAAAATACGTAGCGAACCAATTTACAAGACTTTCATTTGCACAGACTTTTCATTAATCTTTGACTATGTGAATAAGCTGATTAAATTAATGCTGAAATTGTGTTGTGAAAACTTGAGAAAATTTTGATGAAACTTGAAAGGACATTGGGCACATTTTCACAAAAATGTTCATTAGCACACACTTGTAAGTTCTTTATAAACAGAAGACCAGCTTACATAACTGAAGGCAGAAAACACAAGAAGATTGTGTGGAGAAATATCTGGTGTTGTTAGAGGCAAAATGAGTTCTAAGCGGCAGAACAACAAAAACAAAGGTATCGCTGAGCATGCTGGGCATGGTGAAACCTATGAGAGCGATTCTAAAGGTTCAAGCTCAAGCAAGAGCAAGAAATCAGATAATCTTGGAGAGCTTGCTGGTCATGGCGAAACTTATCCCTCTTCTTCTAAAACTTCAAAGTCAGGAAAGAAGAGCAATAAAGGTGATGTTTAAAGGTGAATTGTTATAGCCTATTCATATGTCAGGTAATTTTATCATACTATCTCGAGTTAACATGTCTGGTTTTTAGCTCCTCCCGTATTCATTTTGAATTTCCTCAAGCTTGTTGCATATAAAATGATAATAATGAACATGAAATAGAAAAATCAAAATACTCCTTTGGTCCTTGATATATCACCTAATTTGAGAGTTGATGTTGATCCTATATGTAAGAACTATTTCACATTTTTTCCCTAAATGAATCCTATTGATATTCTTTCAACAATAATCAAGTAGGAGAAAGAGGGGAGAATTAAAGAAGATGATTAGGAATAAATCATATTAACTAATTTAACTAATATCCTTAATCTATTTAAATTAGGTAATTAAGTCTTACATTAAGGATCAGAAGAGTAAGAAAAGTTCTCTCTCCCATAAATATGAAAACCTCCTCTCCAAGCAAATCATCATACCATCCATGATAATTTTTTTTTCCTTACCTTTTCTCTTTCCCAAATTCATTTCTCGGATAGGCCTTTCGCTGCCTTAATATTAAGAACTTGATCCAATTTTCGGGTGAGTTTATGAGCTCTATCTTAGTATGCACTTAGAAAAGAAAAGAATCTTTTTTACTACACCAAAAATCTACATAATTAAGTAACGTGTATTAATCAAGTACTGAAAGTGAGAATGAATATTGAACCAGTCAAGACAAAAGAGTCAATAATAAGTGAGTCAAACCGGAGTCAACTATGGGTCAAACCGATGAAAAATAATAAATAAAAAATAATTTAAGTCAACTTAATATCTTAAATAACTAATAAACTAATCACATACTTATAATTTCTCTCCAACCTTCTTTACAATTCCTTTGACAAATTGAAATTATAATATCATACTACCAAAAAAAGCAAAATATCAAACTAGATATATGATAAAAAAATATTTTTCCTTATAATCATTCGATCACTAAGTAATAACTATCAATAGCTTGAAAAATGTTCTTTCATGAAAATAGCTTTTTTTTCTTTAAAAAAAATGCAACTGGATTGACTCGTCAAACCTATTGGGTTAACTGAGTTACTCTTGGGTTGGTCAGAGTTATTTCTGAGTCAAATTTTTTCAGCTAGGTGACTGATTCACCGGTTTTCAGTTTAACTATTACAACACTATTGAATATAGAAACAATTAATTCATCAATCCTTATATAGTTATATCTATATAAATAATCTGTAATATGATTGATTTTAATTTTATTTAGATCTATATGACAAAACTAATCCAGTTTTATATTGAGTGAGAGCTATGTGATTAGCTAATAACATTATTTTTCTTACAAATTAATAAATTATAATTTTTATACATTGTATCAATTATTTTTTTATACAGAATGAATATTATAATTAAATATTTTAATAAAATAAGAAAAATTAAATGGGCAAAAGTTATGGGTAAAACTATGAAAAGTCGCTGTCAAAAAATTATTTTTTGTGGTGACTTGATTAATTGCTGCTGAAAACTTTTAGCAACAGCTATTAGGACCAACATATCACACACACACACACGAAATTATGAAGATCCAATAAAAAAGGAAATAATTACAGTAAATTAATTAAAAATCAGGTGAAGCTATGAAAACTTACATTAAATTCTCTCAATTATAAACGTGGAGTCATTACTCAACAAGAAGTATAAATAGCACAATAAGATATTTAAGAATTAAAAAGGCATCATTAATGTTGGCCCAAAAAAACAAGGATCATTAATAAGGAATTTTTTTTCCTTTTTTCATGATTTTATTTAATTTCTTTTTCTTTTTTTTTAATGTCCAAGCAGGCTTAAAGTTGGTGGGGGACTAATGCTGGGAGGAATATCCATGAAGTCTCTTATTTTCTTTTTCCTTGTGGTTTATTTTCATGTACTGTTTCTTTTCCAATTAGATTGTCAGATTACCGCTAATAAAATGCTTGTAAGTTATGTTTTCTATGTTAATAAAATAATAGTTTGAAAAATATTTTATTGTTTATGGTTAAATGCCATACTTTTAAAATGAAATAAAATTATTTGGCGAAATTAATTTACGCTATGTTTTGGCGAAGACCACCAAAATGTGATATCCCACCCTCTTTTTGTTTTTGTTTTTTTTTTTTTTTAAAAAAAGCCTCCCACCAAAAACAGTACCCTCACCGGCAGCCACCTTATCGATGGCTAGTGGCCAGTTCTCTGGCAGCCAGCAAGGGGATGCCGGTAGCAGGACTCTGGTAAGGAGTTGGGTTTTTTTTTTTTTTTTTTTATAATAAATGGTATTTTTATCATTTCACCACCTTTTTAAAATGACAATTTAGGTTTTTCTCCTATTCTGTCATTTTAAAATGTTTGCTTCCCAAATTAAAATTTCATATATTCAAAATTTTTTATGTGTCATTTTCCTAATAAAAAATAATTTTAATTTATTTTTGATAATATATTTAAAAAGATTACCAAAATAAGTTAAATCTTTTTAATGGTGTAATTTCATCCATGATTTTTCTCGTGCAATTTCACCCCTGATTTCTTAGTGCAATTTTACAAAGATGAGGAACTAAAATTGCACCAAAAAAAAAAAGATTATTGGTAAAATTACACCACTAAAAAAATCAGCAGTAAAATTGCATATAAGAAATAAGATCATGAAAAAATCGCACCTTTAGCCATAAAAAATTACAAGTATTATGAAATATAAAAAGCAATATTTTTGTATAATAGATATTATGAAATAGAGGGAGTGCATGAGTTTTACTTCTTAAAAAAATATTGGTAAAAGCGCATTTTTCCCCTTTATTTTCAGCCGGTAACGTTTTGTTTTGGTATCTTAATTTTATAAAATGACTCTTAGTCAATGTTTTTGCCAGAAGATAAAGATTTTAAATATTGATAAAATTTTACTCAATTAGTTTTATTAACAAAAAGTGCTGACACATAAACTTTAAAAATATTGTTAAAATATTATTAAATGTTAACATAATAAGTTTAATTTTTCAAAAAAATAATTATTGGTGAAAAAGATTACTTGAGAATAACAGCGTTAGGAACTGAGAATTGAAAGGGAGTTTTATAAAATTAAGGGATCCAAAGTACGCTTTTCCTACTGTATAGAGAGAGAGAAGAGTTGAAGGCGAAAAAGTCAAAGGTTTAGGAATTAACTTGTGTATTTCTTTAACTTGTAGTAATACGTAACACTTCATGGCTCAAATCATTTCATCAATCTTGACCATGCCACATTCAACTTTACGTCGAAATTTTCAGATATGAAAGATTATATCCTTCTATGCTTTATCAAAACATGTTAAGCATGTACTTATATAAGTATTTTCAAAAGTTCTGAAATATATAAGACTACCAATAGTACTTGATATAAGAGTTAGTTGGAGATTCAATTTGATCTTAAATATAAGAATTTAATCTATTTTATTTTTCATATTTATCTATTTTGCTTCTAAGTAATCTTTATGGTTTTTACAAGAATTGTCTCAATGCACACTATTAATAACGATATTTTAAAAAATATAACACTCATTTATTACAAATAATTAATTTATTTAATTTTTTAATATTTATAAATTAATTATTTAGTTTCTGTATTGAGAACAGGAGGTAGTTCCATATTTTTGGGTCAAACCAAAACTATAATCTGGCCATACATAAGTTCAAGGAAGCGACCCTTTTAATTTCATAAGATGTTTAGTAGTACAAGTAATAGAAATATTCACCACTTGTCAAAGATCTTTGACTATGGGGGTGTTTGGATAACCTCAAACCATGGTTTGGAGAATAGTTTCTGGAGAATAGATTCTGGAGAGAATAGATTTTGAAAGAATAGATTTTCTGAAAAAGTGATTCTAGTAAAGTGAGAGTGTTTGGATAATTAATATCAGAAGTGCTTTTTGGTATGTAGAAATTACTAAAAAAGACATAAGTTTAAATGATAATTACATATAAGATATATTTCATAATATATGTTTATTTTAAGTAATAAATTTATTAATAATATATATTTTGGCAACATAATAAATAAGGTATAAATAATATAAATAATAAAAAATTAGTGTGTGTATATATTAATCCTATAAATAAATATGTTTTTAGGAAAATGATTTATTTTGCCAAAGAAATATAGTGTGTATATATATATTAATCCTATAAAAAATTAGTGTGTATATATATATTAATCCTATAAAAAATTAGCGTGTAATCGTGTATATATATTAATCCCAATACGGCGGCGTTTTCCACAAAAAAAGCGATGGGAGAACGTATTTTCTTATCTAAGCTTCTTCCCTGCGCATTTGCTCCCCCCATCGTAGATGGTTCAGCCACGCCCGGTGCCTTCCCTTGTCGACTCGGAACGAATGGGAAGAAGTGAACCCCGACGCCGCTCGCCAAGTTCTTCAAGTCCACGACAACATCTTCTCCAACCGACCCGCCACCATAGCCATCAGCTACCTCACCTACGACCGCGCCGACATGGCCTTCGCTCACTACAGCCCCTTCTGGCGCCAGATGCGCAAGCTCTGCGTCATGAAGCTCTTCAGCCACAAGCGGGGGGAATTGTGGCAGTCGGTGCGAGACGAGATGGACGCGGTGGTGCGCACCGTGGCCAGCAACACCGGCAAGCCGGTGAATATCGGTGAGCTGAACGGATCTTCTATGAGGGCGACGGAGATGAATGGGAGAGAAGAGGCGTTCCGGGTTGAATGGCCAAACCGTGAGAGCTGAACGGACCTCTGCGTGCTTGTTCCCAAACCGTGAGCTAATGTACCGTTGGAGCCAATAATTCTCCCTCAGAAGCTACTCCCGCGAGCTTATCCCAAACCAAGGTTTTGGTGGCCAAAACCAAGGTTTTGCCACAAACCTTGGTTTTAAACAAAAAGGGGGTGTTTGGCAAATTTTTTGCCAAACCATGGTTTGGGAAACCCATTAATAAACTGCAATTTTTTTTATTGTAGTGCTAAATAACCTAACAAGTAAAATAAAAATAATTTTGTAAATAAGTATATCTCTTGTACTGCCACTTTAAAATTCGTCAAAAAAACATAGAAACTGTTGAATAAAAATTATAAAGTTATGTGGATATTATGAAATATAATTTTATACAGTCTAGAATCTTTTTAAGCAGCAGGAATATATATTCTCATGGATAAAATTTGAATCAGTAGGATTTGAATCTGAGCCAAACCCATCATTTAGATACATAAAATTTTATGAATTTAGATCCGATCCAAAATTCAAGCAAATTCTTTTAATTACAATCCTTTTTGAATTTTGAATGCGTAAGTCCTAATCATTTGAAATCTCAAGCATCTTCCTTTATTACTACTCAAACAGGTGATCAAGTCGCGCGAGTAGGAAACTCATTCTTATTGGTGTGAATTTTTTTCATACTACCCAACTAAAAAAAATTAAATACATAAATTTTAAATCTAAAATCCAAATTAATTCATCCAAACACCTCCTGAGAAAATTTGCACATATGAGATTCGTTCTTCTTCTTCTTTTTTCTCCTTTTGAATTTTTTCTCCGCGTGAAACATAGGAAAAATCCCAAGCGATGCCTTTCGTAACTTTCTCATGCATTTTTCTCACAGATTTCTCAGAAACTATTATCATAATAGAAGTTTAGAGAGAAATTCCATGGGGAAATTCTCTCCTGTACGAATCATAGACAAAAATGAACTAAACAACGTTAGTAAATAATGAGTTCATACCATTTTCAGTCCATAAAATTTGATTTAATTTTTAATTTAATTCATGAAATTTGAAACGGGGGACCTTATTTGAGGGACCAAAAATGTTTAGGTGAATTAAGATGATGTCAAATTTCAGGAACTAAAATTACTTATTTGAGATTTTATTAATCAAAACTATAAATTAAATTTCAGATAGTAAAAATGATATTAATTCTGAGTAAAACTCAATGAAAGCATTCTAATTCTCTTGCTCGGTTATATTGCGTAGTTGATCGTATCCTGTTTCTGTATGCTAGATTGTATTAAATAGGGCCCCTAATAATATTATGTGTTTCCGATGAATGTACTTTATTGGATTATTAGATTAAAAAAAAAAACAGAGAGATTGAGAGGAAAAATTGGGTTATGTGGAGATAAATGAAATGTGCAAGTTATGAAAACATACAAGTCATTTCATTAACTTTTTGACCTTATGAACAAGCAAACTTAATAAGTAAACCTGAATCTTGTTTTCGTAACTCTTAAAAACTTTGAAGAAATTTGGAAATATTTTCGCAAAACTTTCATTTGCCCATACGCTTCTGAGTTGCACATTGTCACACAGTTTTGATCTGCACACACTTTCCATGAAGCTTAATTAATTTGACCAAGTGTACAAGCAAACTCATCAAGTCTGAATTATGTTTGATGATACTAATGAGAAATTTGCACACATTTTCACAAAAATGTTGGGCTCTTTCCTTATATATACACTTCTAATTACATTCATCATCATAAATAGAACACAAGCTTTCGTAATTGAAGGCAAATAACGAAATAAGATTGTGAAGAGACAAGCATCTGTAAATCCCGAAAGAAGCTGTATGAGTTACAAGCAAAGCAGGAAAGATATAGCACTTGGGTATGCTACTTCATATCCTGGGAGTTCATCTTCTAAAGCTCCAAGCACAGAGAAGATTAATAAATCATCCATTGGAGACTATATTGGTTATGGTTGGATTTATTCAGAGTCTTCTTCTTCTGATACTTCAAACTCAAAAAGCAATAAATCAGTTATTGGAGATAGTCTTGGATACGGCTCCACCTATAGCAGTAAATAGTGAATAGTCCCTAACCATTGATTCAAATACCAGGTAAATTCATTTATTTGATCTTTTTAGGGGATCACAGCCCTGTAATCTTTCATTCCAATTAGAAGAGGTCAGTGTTGATTCTTTATGCTTATCAAGTAGTTTCAAAGTGTTATGGCATCATATGTATGCCTTATATTGCCATCATTTCTTGTGAATAAAACAAAATCATCAAATTTCTCATTTATTTTTTCTTTACTTTCTTGAGAAATAAAGCTTCTGTCTCAACCCTAAAAATGTAATTCGCATTGCTTTTTTCTTCCACAAACTGAAACAGAATGAACACCACAAATTAATCAATTATTTATTTAACAGCTGGTATATACTGATCAACACAATCAAATGGGGTTGCCAAACTTTTTCTTATCTATGAATAGATACACAACAACATCATATATACAATACCAGTATTTTCAAGTGAGATCATTTTCATCTAATGATTCCTCTTCTTCCTCTTTAGCTGCATCAGCCTTCATTGCGCTCACATCACCTGTTGGCAGTTTCCTTGCAAGCCTGATAATCTGCACACATTTTACTCATATCATCACTAAACATTGAAAAACAGTGATAATCAAAGTTTTTGATTAATGACCATGCAAATATAAACATTTTGCGGAGTAGTTTATGCTCTTATCATCCTGCAATGAGGACTCTAACTGTCTTTCTAAGTTCAAAAAGTAATCATATAAGAACTCTCTTAAACAACCTTCAACAATACATACAACAATCTGACAATCCAATAAGGATCTTAAAATACGGGAAAATTCTTATCCAAAAATAATTAAGTAAAAAAACACTGGAAAACCAGCTTGCAATGAGTGGTAATTTTTGAGACATGATGTGGAGTCTTCTGCTGATCATTGGCAAGTTATGAGTGTTCAATCGCTATTTTATCCCGGGCGCAAGTTCGACAGCATTGCAACAACAGTTTACAGATTATGCATTGCATCCTTTCGACTCTAGATTGAAACAAACTAAAGACAAAATCTATGTTGAAGATAAATAGCAAAGTCTTAGATTTGAATGTTTTCCATGATCATTTCTACTCAAACTTGAGCAGTTAAGAAAAGGCCCATAACTGAATGTATTAGTAACTCTAGCTAACTCAGATGAAAGCTTTTTGGGCATAAAGTAGTAGCAAAGACAACCTCAGAAGCAAAGAGGTAGCTAACGTGAGGAAATCGATGTATATGAACTCGGACGTTTACCACATGGTCAAGATTTGAAACAGTGCTGGAATTAGCAACCCGCTTGATTTCTTCAACGTCTCCTTCCCTGTAAGCAGCAAGAAGCTTGGTAGCACAGCGATTTTGGTCACTTTTGACGAAGGCATCAATCCTAGAGACATCAAATCACGTCACTATAATTATCAGCTCTATAATGCATAAGCACAACATTACAAAATTACTCCAAATTTCTGTCTATAAAGAAGGAAAAGAAGTAAATTTCATGCATAGGATTGATGCCATCATGCTCCATGAGCAAAGAGACAATTGGAGTGGGAAGACAATGAAGCAAACCAAATAATCGTAGACAAAAAATCTTTCTCAATAAGCTACTACAAGTGTCAAAAGACTCATCACATATATAAAACGTTCGGAACGCATTTGCCGGGGAGTTTAGAAGATTATGCAAGGAAGGCCATTATATTCATCCCCTCTCCCTCCCTCCTTTCATCTCTCTAGATAAAACCATACATGCTAACAAAAGCATTTGAGTCTGTGAGAGAGAATACAATAAAAATACGACCTAATTTCCAACAATTGGGGCTAATATTTTTATATATAGCTGCTCCGTGTATACATAGAAAATGAGTTTTCTCAATTTAGAAGATTATGCAAGGAAGGCCATTATATTCATCCCCTCTCCCTCCCTCCTTTCATCTCTCTAGATAAAACCATACATGCTAACAAAAGCATTTGAGTCTGAGAGAGAATACAATAAAATTACGACCTAATTTCCAACAATTGGGGCTAATATTTTTATATATAGCTGCTCCGTGTATACATAGAAAATGAGTTTTCTCAATTTATTTATTGCAACTAACCAAGAACTATTTCAGGGTTCAGTAGGAGCAAGCCAGAAAATTTGGGTAAACTACCTCATTCACCACCAATGATAAAAGGTCGCCATGGAAGAAAACAGAAGGAAAACTGATAGAGACCAAGATAAAACCAGTAGACAAGTAATGCTGAAACTGATATTAATCACACAAAAGGTTGGGTTCAATACAATATATAACTGGCACAGCTCACACAGGAAACAACAAAGGTCACTCAACTCACTAGCACACTAAAATACACACTGAAATACAAGAAAATGATGAAGAAAGACTCTCTTCCTCCACCCCTCACCTGGCATTTGAGAGGCCAGCACTCTCCTCACCAAACTCAGTCCAAAAAATAAGTCCCCCTTCCACTGAGAACCCAACGAATATTAATACTCCAAAAAAAGATCCTCACAACCCCCAATACAACAGTTTCCTAAGTCAGGCCTATAGCCACCCTAGAGTAACTAATATGCTCAATAACTTTCTCTAAAAGACAATAAAGCTTGAGGCCAACGTCCAGGGTAGCAGAAAGTGATTTTACTCTTCCATGTATCTTGCTAATTTTACTTTTATAGGTCTGGTAAATAAAGCTGATTCTATCAAAAACCATCATTGCAGAGAAGAGCATGCCAAGGCTACTAAAATTGCAATGTAGTGATAATGCAATTGTTACAAATAGAAGGCCAAAAATAGTAAAAGAAAGATTGAATCTGAGGGGGTTAACGGTATTTCTTTGTGCATTTTAAAAGTCAGCCTTACTTAAAACCACATTGAAGGCCAGAATCAATTTCTTAATGCTTCATAATCAATAGCTAAGTAATGAGCATCAGGTAAGCCATTAAAAACAGGC